CGCGTCGTCCCATTTTTTGAATAGTATGCATTTTCGATATTGTTTCTATGTCATGGTTCATTATTCTAGCATCATATATGAAACACATTCAAATACAATCTCCCCATTAATAATGATAATAATAATATAACACATAGGGTTACCAATGCATGCATGCATGGTTGGTTGCTTGGGGTACAAGTTACCATACAAATTTATKAAAAAAYAACAAGTTACCAATACATCATACATTCACGCTGTGTTAATGGGTTCATTACATGTTTTGCGATTGTGCCCCGATGTACCACACCGACCGCACTTACGTGTTTGGCGCACCTCGCCCGTGGAAGCAATCCTAACTGTCCGCCTCCTGCCAACTCTAGGAACCATATCTGGTGCTTCTACCGGTGTATCGACAAAATCTGGAGAATTGTTCCACGTTGAGACGTGACCAATTGGAAATATTGGTTCTGCATAAGCCATTACCYAGGAGTTCGTCGTGTATGYCTCGTCACACAGAGTGTATGGATTTATGTTTCGCATCATCGCCCTGGCAATAGCATGAGAGCATGGAATTTTAAAATAATCAAACTCCCGACAACTACATGTCCTAGAGTTGAAATCAACAATCCCGTCAAGGTTACCATCACGTACCTGGACATGAAACTGGTCGATGTTCACTACAACGTGTCCCCTGGCATTGTCCGAGTATTCAGCAAGCTTATTTTCTGCGTAGTCGGACAATGTGGTTGATCGRAAAGAGGCAAGCGTCCATCGATYGTAGAACCAAGTCTGTAAYAGACCTCTGATATGGTCCAATAAAGCAGTTACTGGCAACCTACGTGCGTGTCTAAAGAGGGCATTCACAAACTCCGCATTATTACTGGTCATATGTGTGTACCTCAATTCTGTTTGGAAACAACGAGCCCAACGCTCCTTCCCAATGTCATCCAGATACTCCCTCACACCAGGGTACGCACCAAGTTGAGCCCAGATTGAGTTGAAATAAGACTCTCGATATGCTTTCGCAGCTTTTAGAAATAGTTCCTCGAGTGCCTTCGCATCGACTTTAAATTTTGCTAACAAGTTCATCTTAATATGTTGTATACAAAAGCAATGAAATGCAGTGGGAAATACCTTGTCAATTGCCTTACAAATGGTGTGATGTCTATCGGAAACGAAAACCAAATTGTTCACTACGCCGAGCGCACCTTTTAATTGAGTCATAAACCATACCCATGATGCTACAGTCTCACCGTCGACAATAGCAAATGCAACAGGGTAAATCTGGTTATTTTCATCCGCACCAGAAGCTATTAACAATACCCCTCTGAACTTCCCTTTTAGGTGGGCCCCGTCGACAACCAACACTGGTCGAATACAAGCCAGAAACCCTCTAATCGATTGACCCAAAGCCATAAAGACATATTTGAAATATTTTCCATCTTTGAGTTCCAATTCGAAAATAGTACCTGGGTTCATGATTTTTAATGCTTCAYCATAAGCTAGTAGTAGACYGTATGACGATGTTGGATCCCCTCTAATAAGTCGAAGTGCTTCTTCACTGGACCGTCAAGCTTTGTCATAACTTAAATTCACATCATACTCCTTCCTGATGTCTTGTATTATGTCTTTCGGTCTATACRTGCGGAAGACGTCTGTAAACTTCGCTTGGACAAGATGTCCGACCACCCAACTCTTGGCTTGCCTATGATCCTGTTTCAAAACTTCACCGTTGYATGTATTGATGCTATAGTATTTTTTTATCTTGAACAGATTGCAGTCCCTCAGCTTTGTAGCTCGAAGTCTCCAGGTGCAACTAGTATCAACGCAGCGTAGTATATATAGTTCCGGTGTCGACTTTTTTACTT